GATTTCAGATGAATTAAGAGATAGGAAAACATGGCTCTCCAAGTGTTAGAAAACAACTCCCATCATCCTTGGCCAGCATAGCCAATGGTGAGGTGGAAGATGCATCCAACTTCTGGAGGGTTCCCCACTCCTTCCTAATTAATCGCCAGTGCCATTCTCCCTTCTCCCTACCAGATTATCTCCAAATGCTCCATCATTGCCCTTAGACAACTAGGTCCCTTTTTGATAGCATTAAAAGAAATTTATAGAGAAGGGAAGGCAATGATTAAAGTTAATGATAATTATACAGCCATTCTCCCTTCTCCCTACCAGATTATCTCCAAATGCTCCATCATTGCCCTTAGACAACTAGGTCTGTGAAGCAAGACATTTCCAATCATTCAGTAACACCTCCTTATTACAAAGAGGGAGCTAAGTGCTGGTTGATGATAGAGGGATAGATAACACCTTGATAAGCTTTTTTACATAATTTAGCCACTGTCAGATGAAAATTCCTTACATCAGTTTATTTCCACCCTGTCAGTTCAGTTGTTTAAAGATCTATAAATCTTGCATTTCAATGTGATTCTGGTTTTTGAAAACAAAAAGAAAAGGACATTTTGAGATCTGTTTTTTAAAAAGTGAGAGATACAGCCTTGTGTTTTATTACCAGCTGAACAGCTCATAATCATACTGGGGTTAGCTGTCCCTGTCCCACGGAGATAGATGCAGGTCTGTGAAATGTGTGACTTGCCAGGCTAGCCATTTGTTTTGTAGAACTTGGCAAAAGAAGAAACATGTCCATGCACAAACACACACACACATACACACACAGAGAGAGAGAGAGTGTGTGTGTACAGACCAAAAGTGCAATCCACTGGATCTGTCCATATCAACAAATTAGAATGAGGTCTGTTGTCAAACAAATGGCTCTTAATTGCCCATTCAAGACCAAATCTCCTTCAAGGGAGGGAAAATCAATTTCTCTCCCAGATATTGTGAGGACTGAAACTAAATTCAGAAGAAACCCAGAAGCCTGAGTGGAATGGCCAACAGCACTTAGTGGTGGATTCAGCTTTGGGCACATTTCAGGAGGTCGTTTTCAGTTTTCAGTTTTTTAATAAGTCATGCAGCATATCATCAATGCTCTAATACAGAGTACATTTTTTACTTCCTCTGCCCCTCCATGAATGAGCAGAGTAAGTGTTTAACTTCCCAATCTCTTAGCTGCCTTCTTAATCCATGTCATGATATGAACAATTCAAATAGAAACACAAATTGACAGTGGAAGGCATGATTTGGTTCCTTTCCAGTGATTGCACATGTTGGAAATGAACCTTTCTATACCGAAAAAAGCAGAAGCCCCTGAAAGGGACTCCAAAAGGAGCAGGTAAGAACACTCGCAAGATGGCTGGTTCTTTCTAGCAAAGACAACTTCTGATCACCAGCTTTAGGAGTGAACCAGTCCATCCGCACAGTAGACCAAAGAGTGACCTAAATGCCCATGGAGACATCCTTATAGTCAGCCTAATTATTCAGGCAAAAACAAAAGACTAAAGAAAAATAAAGAAAACCAAAATGTTGTGGCATCTTAAAGGCTAACTGCTGTATTTTAATGTGAACTTTCGTAGACAAATCCACTTCCTCAGATTCCACATCCTGTCTGAGGAAGTGAATTTATCCACAACTGTTCACATTAAAATATAGCACTTAGTCTTAGACAATGTTTTTGTCTCCTTTATTTTTCTTTTGTTTTTGCCTATATACATACTAGCACAGACTAAGGCACAGGCTACCTCTTCTAAACCTAGCCTAGTTATTGTCATACTGGTTGTTAAATTCTGGGAGGTGTAGTTCACAAACGCAGCATGGCAGTCTATCAAACACTGCGCATTTTCCAAGCAGAGAACTGACCTCTATAAGGAAGGGTCCATAGCCACTTTATGTGAGGACAACTCCTCAAGGAAGGCAGCTGAGACATTCTAAGGATGGAAGATGTCAAAAATGCAAGTGACTCTCTTTATTAATAATCTTATAATCTCAGAACTGCAGAGTTCTGGAAGGGATTCTATGGATCACGAGTCCAGTCTCTGTCAAGGAGGCAGACTGGAGAATCAAACTACCCCAACTTCTGGTTCCACAACCAGATGCCTAAGCCACTGAGAGTGATCTGAATAACAGATTGACTTAATAGCTGCAATTTTATGCGTGCTTTCTAGTGAGTATGCCCTATTGAGCTCTATGGCTTAGAGATTGTAAGAACCAACTGGAACTCTTGTTATGAGAAGTTACCCAAAACAGCTCTACTGCCCTAGATCCTGACATTTTGTCTAGTTTTCAAAACTAATCAGAGTCAGGGATCAGTGTCACTTGTCTAGATGACCATCAGGGGATACCCAGAGATCTCCAGACAGGGCAAGGAGAGAATTCTGCTGAAACCTACCACAGCTGCTGCCAGTCAGATGGAATAATATTAGACTAGGTGGACTAAAATGGGACGTGGTGGTGCTGCGGGTTAAACTGCAGAAGCCTCTGTGCTGCAAGGTCAGAAGACCAGCCATTGTAAGATTGAATCCACACGACGGAGGGAATTCCTGTTGCTTGTCCCAGCTCCTGCCAACCTAGCAGTTTGAAAGCATGCAAATACAAGTAGATAAATAGATACCACCATGGTGGGAAGGTTACGGTGTTCTGTTTCTAGTCACGCTGGCCATGTGACCACGGAAATTGTCTATGGACAAATGCTGGCTCTACAGCTTAGAAACAGGGATGAGCATCACCTCCTGGAGTCGGACACGATTGGACTAAATGTCACGGGGAACCTTTACCTTTTACTAAGTGGACTAAATGTCTAATCCAGACCTAGGCAAAGTGCGGCCCAAGGGCCACATATGGTCCATGAGCCACTCCTGTCCAGACCACAGACAGTTTGGAACATCAAAACCATTTATAACTTTTTGCCTAAAGTTGATCAGTTGCTTATCTTTAACATACCGCAAAAAACCTCTTTGTATTTGTGAAGATTAACAAGTTTAAAATAAAAACAATCATAACATCACTGTTTCATTTTATTTTCTAGTAAAGTTGGTTTGGCCCCCAAACATAGTTCAGATTTTTCATGTGCCCCCCCCC